CTGCAAATAGTAGACTTTGTTTCATCACCAATATTCACACCCATGCTTCTGCACTTTCTTTTCCATTTTTTTAGGGCTTTATCACTGTATATCTTAAGCAGGGTTGGAGATATACAGCAGCCTTGCCGTAATCCTTTATTTACTGAGAAGGTGTCTGATAGACATTTTCGTAACGTTCTAAAATAAGTAATTTCACACATTATATATATACCTAAAATGTGTACCATTTTCAGATTTTTTCTGGTCATCTAACAGAGATATTGCAGTTGAAAATTGGGGAAAAAATTCCAATTTTTAAGAGGGTGTAATATTTAGGGGTACGTTACTTAACAATTATATTTTACAAAATGTAACAATACTGTTATGTGTAAAAGCACATAAAAAATTAGGGCTAAGACTATTTCTTTGAGATATTACTCTCTGAAAATCGAACTTGCTTCATTCGCGTTGCAAAGATTTGGTTGCAAATATTTCTCATATACAAATGTGGAAGGTAGATAAATTATATTTCAATTTGTAGGACAGTGTATACTGAATCCAATGCCTTTTATTCTAGAAAACCAGAGCTGAGTAGTTTAGAAAATGTCTACAAAAGCGAAAAAAGCGCACGGCGTAAACGAAAATGTCCACCATTCGTAAACCAGATACAGGAACAAAAAATTAAAGAGGTTTTTGAACAGCCAAAACATAAAGAAATTTATGTACTAAATGTGAATTTCTTCCAGATGTTTGAGAGACCAATTTATTAAATTATGGTTAACATAAAATTGATTGACCCAAATATTTAAAATGTTTTAATTTTAGAAATTACAAAGTTAATAATTTATTTTAATATTAATCTTGGAATCATGTAGAATAATTACATATTATTAAGAACTTCCTTACTTTGGTAATACATAAGTCGTTGATCCGGCCGTGGCCATTCATGACCCAAAAATGCATTTCGTTAGAACTGCTACCTCTGGCAGAGGTGACTCAGAGTACCAACTGATGTTGTTTTGCAATGCCTCTGCCTGAGAGGTCCTATGTTCGATACCCGGCGGGGGCGGGATTTTCGACACTAGCAAAATACTACGTGAAGTTCCGTAGCTGTGTGGAGAAGTTTAGCGGCTAGCTGCTCTGATCGGTAGTTTTCCGTGGTTTCTCCAATCAACAACAGGCGAATGTCGGAGCAGTACCCTAACAAATGGGCCACGAACCGCGCGCTATCTTTCTTTCTTTTCTCTTTCTAGTCCTATGCTCGCCCATTACTTACACTTCCATACACTACCCATGACGGAAAAAATTTGGAAGTTTAGAGCTTGTCCTGTTCGGGGCGGTACCCCGCTGGTGGAAAATGCCTGGCTGGGAAAAACCCTGTTATCCGATGGTAGTTCAGCGCCGGATCTCACTGTCCAGCGGGGGAAGATCACCGCCACCTCCCAGGCGGAAAACATGCACTACACGTACGGCACTGATGACCTTAGCGGATGACGCGCACTGTATCACTAATCAATCAACCAATGGCATTGCTACCACACGTTGTTTTTGTCTACGAAAACTCTCTGCTCTATGTGATCGCGCTGAAAATTACGATCTCCTCCTTAGGCACATGTTTTCTAATCCCTGCAATTTCTCTGAATTTTATATTTAAAAGTATTTCTACAGAGCCATAAATTAATATGAATATTTTTCTAGTTAATATAGAATTAGGTCATTACATCAAGGATTAATATTCTCTGTTATTATTCAGTCGGACGCATACTGGAGGACCCATCCTTGTGGGGAGTAGTGGAAGACCACTTTGGAGACATCTTCCAATGGGAATTGGCGCCAGGCGATTGGACTCCCGAGAAAGCAAACCAACTCCGCATCTACTTCAATGGCACTCTGCGCGACAACACCACTCATATCGCATTCATGCAAGTACGTGTTTTGTTCCAATTCAACTTCCGGCTGCGATGGCTCGGATGCAAAGTCCGTTGGCTCTGCAGAATGACCGGGAAGCCTTAAGGCCCGTTACAATTCAAACGTAAACATAAGCATAGCGCATAGACATAAACATTAACATAAGTGATAGACTGAAGTATTCAAAATGCCTATCATAAACGTAAGCAAAATAGTTTCTATTGGCTGTGAATCTTTCTGGTTGGATGTGAGAATCGATTTCAAGATATCGACTGTGTCTATGTCCCATATGGCGTTAGTTCTTCTATCGACTTCGCTTCACTTTCGATTCTCGATTTTCAGTTACCGTTCTGTGATTGGTTCCTTTCTTATGTCTTACGTAAGCATAAGCACAAAAGCTTGTAACTTTTAAGTTAACGTCTTACGTGTTATGGTTATGCGAACGCATTGTGAATGAGTCCGCTTATGGACGTAGTCCTAACTTTTATGTTAACGCCATGTTTATGTTCATGTTTGAATTGTGAATGGGCCTTTAGAGATCGAGTTCCAACGACCAGAACTCACCAGTGCGGAAAGGACATCGCCATTCGGGATATATCATGCACTACAATTAGAGGATTAATGTCGCGATGGTAGTTGTTGCGCCCGGAAACACTAAATATTCCTTCTGATTCAACTTGATTATTTTGTAAAAAATATATTCAAAATTATATTATCTTAGTATTAGCGGGAAATTTCTTTGCCTCTCACCCCAGCTTCTCAGACTTCAATTCCGTTTATCAATAAAAAAGTGTAATTGCAAACATTCTTTACGATTCTCCCGTTTTCCGACCTCTCATCCAACATGGCATCTTCTTATGATAAGCGTGATCATTATTAATAGTTATCATATTATTCATTATGGTACAAGCAAAACTCGTGGGAAAGGGAATTTTAGCAAGAATCAAATGTGCCGTTGAGCCAAATGCGCAATTATTTCCCCTCTTCTAACATTCCTCTTACATCAATATACCACATTTTATATTCACGAAAATTGATAAAAATATTACGTTTACAAAAATTAATATAAATTCAGTTTCACTGGCAGGAACCACGAAAGTCTTTACTATCTGTATTACTGCTATTTAGCTCTCAATCGACATTAAAGTATTTTATACTCTCTCCAATAAAATAAATTTAATCTTCATTGTTCAATATACAGAACGTAGTTTCGAAAATAAACGTTAGATAGAGCTGTCGGCAAGCAGGGATGTCCAGTGCGATCAGCTTCTCGGCCCAAGGCATTTTCGACGCGAAACTTAATGTTTCCAAGAATGTACATTCAAACATTTGTTATATTATGAAACGAATTTTTGTAACTCTGTCTCATTTACTTCTGCAGCTAGTTGGTGAAAGAAACTAGTGACAGCTTCTTTGAGGTTTTAGTTACTGAAATATTTTGCCTGCTTTCAAAACGTCTATTTAAAATGCGGCAATTGAAGGGAACGGAAACTGCTCTGTAAAGTGGGTAATCAAAATCGCCTATGATTTCATACCTCGACGAAACACCATTATTGCTGATGAATGTTGTGAAACATGCAGAACTTGTGACAGGAAATTCAGAATGAACAGTCGGAACTGTTGCGTCTGTTATCCTACTCCCTGAAGCATAAAGCCATATTGCAGCAGAACAACGTCTGAAAAAATTTGGTTGGAACTCTTTGACAACCGCCTTACAGCCCCGATTTGGCTCCATTCGATTATCTTTTATGCTATTGAAATACTTTTTGAGATGCAATAGATTTCCGCGATGTCTTCAAAAAACTGATTCTAACTTCTTCCTTAAACTGGCAGCCGAAGTGTATGTGGCTGAGAAAGAAAATTTCGTCCCACAATACAAGTGTTTACATGTACATGACTATGTTGAAATACAAATATATTGTGTATGAAAGTGATTGTACTGTAAAAAACATCGTCCAAGACCTAACGAGCGGTCCTCATGTATTATCTCGCGTAGCTTTGTCTCGTAAAACCACACTCTTTAAACAGTGTTCTTGAATATCACATAAACTTGTCATAACATGAATTAAATACTTATAGCAGCTAGGACGAAGAATGATCCGCGTTTCTCTTAGTTCGCCTCTATTATAAATACATGGATATATTTTATTTTTAATTTCCACTGAGCAGAATTTCATTTATTCAACACAACTTTAAAATATTACGAGAAAATAAAACACCATTCTTATAAATAAAGCTATTTTCTGTTGAGTCTGATCTTATAATCATACTTGCTTTTATGCAACTAGTAGAGGACCAGATAGATAATTATACTGAACTACTTAAGCGTTTACAATCTGTAGTGTTATATAAAATTGTATTAAATAAGAATGCCTAGTCTGTAATGAATATTTCAAGGTTTTTGGCGTTTACAGTTGTGTACGGACACTTTCATCGCAGCTGGTTCCATGCTGACTGCCCGAGCAATGGCACAACACAACGCTACGGTCTATATGTATAAGTTCACTCGCGATGGACCTCTTGGAATCGGGAAGCAACTTCTAAACGCTACCGAGTATCCTGGCGTGATGCATGGAGATGACATGCTGTATGTGTACGACTACACTGAAGATGCGGCAGTGGACGCAGACCCATGGCCAGTGCCCGCCTCCGAGCAGCCCATTCGAGAACGCCAAGCGAAGATCTTCGCCAACATGATCAAGACTGGGTATGGTTGAGCTTAGTTTAGTATTGAACATTTGACGATCACTAGTATCTCTTTTCAAAGTAACAAAAACAACTCTTCACAATCACTAAAATTACGTCGGAAGAATGTACAATGACATTTTTAATATAATTTTCTTCAATGGTTCAGTTTGAAACTGATTATTTATAACGATTGTAGCACTGCTTTCTATTTTCCTTTTAGTAAAAACGAACAGCGTTTTTTCACAGAGAAAATTTTTATGGCCACAAATGATGATAATTATCACAATTGTATACGAGGAAACGATATTTACGAAATATCAATGATATCTGACAAGGTCCATTTATAAGCGAATAACAGAAACGTTTTTGAAAAAAGTACTGATTTTTAAATGATAGAATATATTCCACATTAATTAACATAAGAAGCTCATTAATCACAGCATCACCTCATTGTATAACTCCAAATATTATTATTAAAATTACCTCATGATAATTGACATTGCCGGTTGATGAACATTGGATATTGCCAACTCGATAGTTCCAATTCAGTAGTTCGCTTGGACAGTGAACACAAATTCCATTTTCAGTTCGAGATTGTGGTATGCATTGTAGTTATAATAGCTTAGAAAAAGTTAACATGTGAACCAAGAATGCTCCTGAGGATGTAAAATTGATTGACGTTTTAGGCACTCGTTATATTTCGAGAAAAAAATTCAATCCAGCAGCTGGATGCAATGTTTGTTTCCGAAACTTTTCCCAGTAAAATCCTCAGAATAATGGGTGCAAAAATAAATATTCTGCTGGTTGAATGATTCATGATTGATTGATTTCCTGATTGCTAATTTAAGACCTGTGCATCTTCCATTATACACCCATTTACTCACATTTTTAAAGCGTTTTTAGGCTCAGGAACATTTCCAGATACTATTTTCAAACAAGCAAAAAAAGTAAGCATATTTTAAAAAAGGCAGCAAAACTGAAATTAAAAATTGTCAGCTAATTCATATTTCGTTGGATTTTTCAAAAATATTTGGACTTTTCTATACGCAAATAAAAACTTCTCAGGGAAAAAATCGTTTTTCCAGGCTCTCTACATCGATTTAAAACACGCCAATCTAGATACTCTGGTAATTTTTCTTTTCTTAATGTTGTTGCTTTATCAACGGATCAAAATGAAGCAACTACTGAAAAACCGATTTATCTTTGCAAAGCTATTGACGTCATTGACCATTGACCTTTTGCTACTTGTGGTAGGAGTAGAAACGGGAGTTTGGGTTACTAATTTGTTAGTAATAGTAAAATATTAATATCTGAAGTTCGTTTATCGATGGAAGTACGTTTCTGATAACTCGGGAGCGAACATGTCACATACGTTTTACTGTTCATTGTCAAAATAAATAAAGTTAAATAGGCAATAGGAAAGAACACTTAAAACAATATGAAACTGTTGTCAATAAGAGCTGATTGTTAGACAAGTCGTTTTGTCGTTATTTTATGATGAAATAATCGAGTTCCTGAGAGAAAAAGTTTTGTATCAATATTTAGAAATATAACTGATCAGAACATTGTTTCTCTTAGAATCATATAGAAATTAAAAAAAACAACTTAAATTGATAATTTAGATAATTTCCAGTGTTTACAAAATTGGGACCGCTTCCTTAATGAAATATTTTAACCTTCTGATTTAACTTTTTAATCGAAAAAGTTTTACTTGACGTGCACAACAGGTATTGATGTGTGAAAAAGAGAAACAAGGAAGTGCTTATGGACTCACGTACTAAGTGTATTGTTTGCAAGAGAAAGATGTGAAAAGTTTCTTAGAAGTAATTTAGAAGAATGATATATGAGCATTTCTGTGGACAAATTTATTTTCAGTTAATTTTCTAACATGTAATTAAAATAATACTATTTATAAATCATTAAATCCAAATTAATTAAAAAACTAACACTAATGATATATCACGCTTCGAATCTTACGCAGATTCAACCATTAACACATATTGCTGAATGGGCATCATACAACTTCTTCGTTTTTACACTCGTAAATAGAGAAAAATTCCATTAAAGGAATTATCCCAGTCACATTAGAATATAACGAAAGAAACAGGTATATGGGACATAATTCCAGAAAAAAATCAATCCTTAATCGTAGCTACAATGTGTGTGTTGAGAATAAAACTAACCATTGAACGCATTTATAAACCCTTCCACTTGAATGCTGTGATCGTAAAACTATTTCAATTTAAAGATCGAGTCGCCGCACCTTAAAGAGAGAATAAATAGAACGATTTTAGAAGTTTCAAAATTGTTTTGTATTAACAAATTAATATTTAATGAAGGAAAAACAGTTTCAATGCATTTTTGCCTTTCAAATCAGCAATCGCGTGCTAAATTGAAAGTGAATAATATGTAATTAAGTGATGTTCACCTATCAATCGTAACTCCATCAGGTTTTTGTTCAGTTTCCCTGATCCATTGAGCAAATGGTGAGATGGCCCCTTGTTTTGCTTCTGGACGTAAATGTAGCTTCACTATGCGCACGTTTTGTTGAACTCTCCTTTTTATTTGTAATGGTTAGAGGTAAGTGCGAGTTGCTATTTTGTTAGCAATGCAGAAAAATCATACTTGCAATTTGCGTACCGATGCAAATAAGTTTTCTATAACTGAGAAATGAAAATGACTATTTTTCAAATATTGCTAATCTTGCGATTTTTAAAATTTATTTTTATTTATCTATGTTAAACGTTTACCCATCTTTCAACTATTTAGAGTTAAAATGATGGGAAGGGATCCTGGATCTCAAGATAACGTGCGCAGATAATATCCCCCTCCCCCTACGTCACATAGTTTTTACTGTATTTTTGACTGAATAAATCGAAATATAATGTGACCATATGTTTGTGTAAAGGGCATCCGACCGAATATTGGAAGGTCCCGGGTTCAGCTTCTGGTGAAAGAAAAATATTGTTTACTTTGACTGCTAATTCGTCGGATGTTTGCCTCTAGGAACCCTACACCCGACGGAAGTGGGTTGCTCCGCTGGCCCAAGTTCTCTTCGCAAGAAGAAAATTACATGAATATGGACGTGGAACTGACTGTCAGGGAGCGTGTCTTGGGGGCTCACGGCTCGTTCTGGCAAAACCTCCTTGCAGCCCACCGTACCACATCCAGCGCAAGGCCACAACACGCCACAGGCCACAAGAGGTGAAATGTTCATCTAATGTGTTCGGGAGAATATGTGCACGCCTTAGACCAAAATGAAAAATAAAAATAGTTGTACTACAACAGCACATATTTTTCTTATCATTGGTAATAGCTACGTAACATAACCTTCGATCCAACTAAAACTTCTTGAGATACATCGAAAACTCGAAAGATGTAACTCAAAATTACGCAAAAAATATTAATACCACAGTTTAGATGAAGTGCTTACTTTCAATATCCTAACTTGGAAATAGTGGGAACGTATTTTAAAAAGAAATAAAAGGGAACATTTTAAAAACGTATTGTTGCTCTTACTGTTGTAACACAAAAAAACTCTTTTGTAAAGGAGAGCGCGATTTTATTTCCCTCCAACTACATTTGCTTTCTATTAATCGACATTTAAGTCATGTCAAAAAATTGTTTACGTCTCTTGATTTTTTTATTTATGGAAATCAATTTTAAAAAAACTCTTAACTTTTAGATAACATTATTCCATACAAATCGGTGGCGATTTCCGAACATGAAGTGCTGCACCTACTAGCGAGCGGCAATTCGTATAAAGTGAAAGATAAATACTTATTCCTCATGAAAATTAATTTTTGAACCGATTTACCTTAAAACCTCAGTTTGTTCAGTTACGATATGTTACTAGTTCATGCACGAAGTTTTATTGAAGTGATAGAAAGTAGGGTTACGGTACCAGTTGTGGAAAGTGCAAATAAAATTTCAAAAATATGAATAGAAGGCTTCCCACTGCCTTCAAACTTGCAGAACGTGAAGTTTGTACCTTCCGATAGTCGGACTTAGAATGAAGATAATTTATTTACCCCTTATTTTGTTATACTTAAACTAGCACAACCTATCAAACGTTGTAAAACGTATGATGAACAAAATAACTCGCCCACCAACAACCCAGACTTCCAATTCCCGTCCCCGTACGGGGGAGAGAAGTCAAAACCCCAAAATAACAACCGATAAGAGATCCTGCAAGGGGTCAGGCGAGCCTAATTTAAAATCTCAGTAGAGGTTGTATACGTTGTTCTAGTTTCTCTTTTTGTCCTCTTTCTTTCCCTTTTTTCTTTTCTTTTTTTACTTTCTGTTTCCCTTTCTTTTACTATCTCTCACGTTTCCTTCTCTCTTCCTCTTCTTTCTTTTCCCGCTACCAGTCGCCCTCTCTCTATCTCGAGCTGTCCGCTCCTCCTGTCCTCTTTGGCCTCGCCCCGTGTCACACTGCAACGCCCAGCAACAATGAAGCAGGGTTCTCAGGTAGATTGAGAATTTCATTTAAGTGAAGCGCCATCTAGTGGAGCTACCACAAAATGAACTTAAAAACATTTTTCGTGAACGGTCACACAATATCGAAGTTCATCGTTCTGGTAAGTACCAATATATAAACAGAGAGAGCGAGAGAGAGTGACACACACACACACACACACAAATCTGATAATGTATTAATATTTCCATTCCAATAATGTAACACGAAGGGATACTTTTTGGTCTCAGGTGCGCTTAGAGATTAGATTGATTGCTACCTGCAATGGTCATTGGTCCCGTTAGTTTGTTAATTAGTAACGCTAAGTTAAAAAGATACTTTATATTATAACCAATTAAACATTTGTAGAAAAACATTCTTTTTTCATTATTCTACGCGAAGCTTCTTGTTCTTACCTATTTAATTAACTCCAATCTTACTGAACGAATGAGAATGATATACCGCTTCCTCAATAATATATTTAAACCTTCTTAAAGTCCAACAAATGTAGTAATTTCTAATTATCAAATAAACTTCGATTTCATATTTGATACCTCTAAACCTCAAAATTTA